CGCTCAGCCAGTGAGCACACCGGCCATCCCTATATAGGATCCGAACCCACGGCGGGAGCGCAGCTGTGCTCCCAGGACCACACTCTCCCGAGTGAGCCACGGGGTTGGCCCAAGACTTTAGTTTATAATAAGCTTTTTAACTCAGGGCAGAAAAGAAGGCCTAGGCAGTAAATAGTCTTGGTACACTGGAAATATATTTGGCAAAGCAAAAAGTTCCTATCTCACGTCATACACACAAAATAAATTCCAGATTGAAGAGTTTAATATAAAAATAATACTAAAAATGTAGTAAAATAAAACACAGAAGAGCTCCTTTTTATAAAAATGAGATAGGGAAAACTTTCAAAAGCACAATACAAAACCCAGAAACAAAAAAAGGGAAAGAGTGAAAAAAATTTGACAACATAAAATGTAACCACCTGATAAAATATTCCATACAAGAAACAGAATGGGAAATAGTTGTAATATATAAAGTGTTAAGATTAGTTCCTTTACATAAGATCTGTAAACAGAAGGTAAAGTTGTAGGTGCATAAAGATATTTAAATTAACAAGGAATAGACAGAGTATCTAATAGAAAATGGGAAATGATCTGATCAGGCTCATTAGAATAAGAAGCATGAATGTTCAATTAACAATATATACTCAAATGCTTTAGTAATTGGAAATGCAAATTAAAACTGGAATGGAAAATAATTTTTAATAAGTAATATGAACAAAAATAAAAGGATTAATAATCAGTGTTCTCAGGAGTGCTTTGAAAAAGGTAATCTTACTAAACAGTTGGTGAAAAAATAAATTTGTAAATTGACAAAATCTTGTTTGGGAGACAACTTGACAGTTACTTTTGGTATCCTCGCAATATACTTGAGAATACCTCACCACTGTAAATCATTGCTAAAATGCTAGCACATTTGCATCAAGATTAATGTACAGGTTGCTCACTAGAACACTATATAGAATAATAAAAATTTGTAATTAAACCAAATGATAATAAAGATGAGTGTGATTAAATAAGTAATAGTTCCTTCAACCTATGGAATACTCTGCCCCAGTTATACAGTTAAGTAATATGTATATAATAAAAATATTCTAAAGCACATGTTAAATAAAAATAGACAGTGGTAGAACAACAAAACATCCTATTATAAAAAAAGGAAAAGGGTGAAAAATCCAGGTATTCAGTCACAGGCATGCACATATTAGGATATAAAAACAAAAGCATACAAAAAAGTACAGAAGAGCACATGAAACTCTTCTAACTGTTAATACTGGGGTTGGGGAGTGGGATTGAGGATCATGTTTTATTTCACATAGTTTTAAGTACATTTTGCAGTAAAAATTTATTCATGTATTAAGTAATTTCTAAAGAAATTAAATTTTCTTATCTTTCAAAATTAACTGGAGCTACATAATGAATACATCTTAATGTGATCTATAATCAATTAAATGACTACAACAACAAGCAGTGCAAAAGAGAGGTATGTTATCTAAATCAAAGCCTACAGTAAGATATGATTTTCCTATTTCCAAATTTATACTAAATCCTAATGCATTTATACTAAAATAGCCAAGAATCCACAAAGCAGTTAAATCATTAAAAACACAACCCAAATTCAGATCCCTGAGAAAAAAGGTATTTTATTTAACATAAGATGCTTACAGTAATCGAAGAGACTTCAATCCATCAAAGGTTCGAGGAGGAATACATCTCAGACGGTTGTAACTAAGAATTCTGAAAGCACACATATGCCAATTTGTTTTATTCAGGAACCCAGAAATGGCCAAACGTCAGTTTTAAAATAAAGCAGTTAAAAACTGGGTTATTTGAGCATCTTATAAATTGAGAATATTTACACATAATATATATTATTTCATCTTTGTGTTGTCTTTCTAATACAAGATATTTATTTCCTAAGTACAACCTAGAATACTTCCCTCTGCCCACCCTTACCTGATGCTGGGGACTTAACCATCCCCTCTCTAAGGTGTCTTTGCCTAGAAGCCTATCTCCCCTAACTCCACCACAAACAAAAATTATTCTTCCTTTCTTTTTGTAATATCTGTATTTGTTCACTAATGAAGATTTTGTCTGTTTCTCCCAATAGAAACATTCCTGGAGGGCACAGACTCTGTCTTGTTCACTAGGAAAGTCCAGTGTCTAGAAAATGCATGCTGTGCAATTAATTAATGAATACGCAGTACCACACTTCCAAACTCACAAGGTGAGGAGCTGGGTCATGTTGCTGAAGCTCTGATTGGAAAGGGTGCTTATTCTGTTGTTACTTAAGTCTCTAAAAGAGAAAAAGAAAGAAATGGAATTTACTAATAACCACAGAAATGGAAACATGAGTGATTTTTGGAAAGAGAAAGCTCTTATTCATAGTTATAGCAGTATTATTAGCACTCAGCTATTATTCAAAAGTAACAAAATACTGGATTACCCTCTGGGGTAGATTGCATTGCCACTCATAATTATTCACACCCCTCCCTGTTGAAATTAGGAGTGACCATAAGCCTTGCATTAGCCAGTGAAGCATGGGCACCAGTGGCTGGTCTTGCTTCAGAGTGAAAGTTCTAGAGCAAGCTCACCTTCCCACATCTCTCTGCTCCCACCTCCACAAACGAGGGATGTTCCAAAAAGAGGAAGCTCCTCACCACACATTTTGTGGGTGAGAAATGAACCTTTATTTTGAAAGTCCCATTTGATATACATACTTTATCCTCATTATGTTCACTGACACACACTCAAATTTGATAACTAAATGAACCCCTGATTTAATTACATTCAAAATACCACCATTAAAAACACCTGTGCTCTGCCTTTGGCAGAGTTGTTGGCACTCAGTAGGTCCTCAA